TCAGGTCCATTTCAGCACTATTCTCTATTATTCTATTCTTTCAGCAGCTCTCAGCAGTATATTTTTCTAATTACACCCAGTTTTCACCAGATTACTCTCCCTTTATCCACATTTCCTAGCACAAACACCCAGGGCAAGCTGTTCTGGACACTAGCTCCTTTGGCACTCTGTTGCTGTACCTTTTGTGAGGATTTGGCCCTTAAGATCTCTCAAGAGTAGAGCTTTAATTTCACAGCAAGGATCTTGCTCATTTTACTCCATATTTACCGAGAACAAAGGGAAGACTATGCAAATGCCCTGCTACTTAGACCTGAACAAAGTAGAAGCAAACATGTAGATGTGAATGGGAGACATAATGGTATGAAAAAAGCAGCCCTTTTCAAAAGTAAAATGACTTTGTCAGGGTCCTTTTGCACTATGTGCATGGATGATTTGTGACAAAACAAAAAAGTGCTAGCCTAGCACATCACCCATGTCAGAGATTAGAGCACTTCAAAACCCTCAGTAGTTCAAGCACTTTCTGGAACTTGAAAGGCTTTCTTAGGCAATGCTTAGCTTCTTTATGGCTTTTACACGACTTTGATGTGCACCTAAGAGTGAGGAATCTTAATCTGAAGGTTTTCTATGGAAAATACCCATATTGTATATAAATCACAAAATCTTGTCACCCTGATTAACATGAGTCAAAAGTTTGCAAAACTTTGTGCCTAACGTTAAAGATTCTGAGTCATTATTTTGATACCCAATTAAGAACCCTGTATTTCCAAGCACTTAGTTACTTTCAAAAAGCTTCTCTAATAATAGCACTGGAGTAATATTTCTAATCATTGACAAAGTATGGTGTGCGAGGCAGTAGTCAGTTGTACAAGTGTCACTTTTTCCCCCATTCTCATTCCCTCTTTAAAAACAGAGATTTAAAGTTCCTTAAAAGTAAAGGATCTGTCAAAACACAATCAATTTCTCATATGTTAGAAAACCTCTTCTCAGAGTGCAAACATGCATGTGTAAACATAAGCTTCATTCTCCCCCCTCACTATACACACTTAACCCCCAGTAGCATTAATGGGAATTATGCATGCATAACGAGCAGAGAATAGTCCCCTTATGAATAGGGCCCTTGTTGGAACAATGAATACATTTAACCATTAACATCTAGGGATGTGCCGAACTATCCAATTTAACTAGCTGCCAAACAAAGCTACCATGACCTATCTGATATTGTCAGGTTCAGAAAGCGGCTCTCTGAAATTTGTCTCTCATTTGTTTTTAAAGGACTTGACAGTGGCCTGTGCAGCAGAGCGGGGGTTCTTTGTCAGAACAAGCTCGTCAGAGAAGGATGGTCCTCCAGAACGGCTGTCACATCCACCGTGTGATGGAAGAACTCTGGAGAGATAAAGATTGTGACCCCAGGAAACAAGTAGAGTCATTAGAAGACCAAAAATCCATATATACATACCTCAAATGCATATATATGTGGACCATCAGTATCAATGGAAACCCAGTAAGAACACAGAAAGGCAGAATATGGCACAGAATCATATAAAGCAGGCTGAAAACTACATATCAAAAGAAAAGAGTGGAAAGGCTGATTAAAGACAACTTCTAGGGGAATAATTTTCTGTCTTCTAGAGCTCTGAAGTTCCTATGCAATTGCCTGGCTACACTTGCTCTTTATTCCTATGTTTTAGCTATCAAAACGCAAGAGAACCCAAAAATATTATATGTATTAATGATACTTCCTGAGACTTTTGAGTCCACAAAGTAGCAAATAAATTTAATGGTATCTGTGATATTTAAAATTCCTCCATTGTCTTAAGTTCCTTCTGTATTCTTTGAACTAGTGT